AAAACCTCACGCCACAAAAACAGTTTCTTCCCGTCTGCAGCTGGCCTCATTAACAAGGCCCGGAACCCCCACTGTCACTGACTCTTATACCCACCCTGTATATATGCATTACATTAATGCACTCCTGTTTTCTGTACAGTTTTCTTTTCTTATCTTTATTTATTTATATTTTAAAAGTACTTTATCTTTTGTGTGATTTTTGTGTGATTGTATATTTGTATATTTTATGCATCAATGCACCAAGACAAATTCCTTGTAGGTGTAAAAACTTACTTAGCAATAAATCTAATTCTGATTCTGATTTGTCCCATGAATTTACAACTTCATATCATTTCCTTTAGGAAATTATGGAGACTATATACATGTAAAATAAAGTGTTTCATGTGGTTAATAAAGGTCTTACGTCTGTACGTTTAACTTAGAAATCTTCCTCCCCTCTGCCCAGTGCGACACACAAATGAGAGTTGTGTTTCCAAACAAACACAATAGAAATGCAAATGTCTCTTTTTCTAAAGCGCTGAAGGTCTATTGTCAGGGGGATACAGCTGGTCTGCCACAGATATTGCAGAAGGGAGTAGACGCCACCGGTCTTCCGAGGATATACGAGCCAGACCGAGGCGAGTTCGTTCAAGAACATGAAACTGAAACACAGCTGACCCAGTTGGCTGCTAGTACTGCCGAGTATTAAATAAAACTGAACAAGTGCAGTAAAAAAATAGAAAACATTTTAGCTGAGAGAAAAATACGACTTTCTGCTTTTAAAAAAAAAGTTTCATATAAATTTAAAAAGCATTAAGAGATGACAAACCCTGCAGGGTTTATTAATATTTGAATTAAACAGCTTGTGATTCAGGAAAATGTACAAAAACATTATCTTATCAAGTAATATCTGTCTATAATTAAGTAATAAAACCTTATTTTATAACACAAGTGAAATAACCTGCTGCTACCGTAAGAACATTTCAGCCTGAAACTACAAATACCTGAAACAAGCTTTTATAAAAAGATTGACAAATATGACTTTATAAGCAGATTTATGTCAAAACCAACTTGCTTGGGTGTCTCTTAATGAATGAACAACATGACAACAAAACATGGAAACTTACCAACTACTTGTGGTACTTTAGGCTTTTGTTTGTCTGTCTTTGAGCTCAAAAAGGACACTTCCACTGCACTCTTCCACAGTCGACTCCCTCAAAAACACTTTGCACAGGAACAAACACGCACTTTGACACCACAACTCCCACCAGTCTGACTAAGATGAGGAATCTGGGAACTCTGTTCGGCCGGCTCCCACCTCCTCCTCCTCCCAATATGAACACACAAACACACTCTACCTTGTGCTGCGGGGGAGATTTCCTTGAGGGATTATAACAGGGGATTTGAGAGGGGGAGGAGTTATTGTCGGCATAATCTAGTGTTTGCACTGCAAGTGGCAGAGCCACCGGGGCTGCTGGGTAGGTAGATATACATATGCGACACAACAGTTTCACAAGGTAGAGAGATTCAAAACTGGTACTGGCTGTTCCTGAGCCAACATTTTTAAAACAAATGATTCCCCCAATCATTTGTTGCCACCCCTGAAGTCTAGAGCTAGAGTGAAGAAGATAGTGGTATGATATTATGAAACTAGATGACCTAACACATGCTAGCATGTTGAAAGGGAGATAAATAACGGTCCAAAGTTAGGCTACGTTTTGGTGATGGAAAAACTAGTATGGCCAATTTTAAAGGGATCCCTTGACCTCTGACCTCAAGATATGTGAATGAAAATGGCTTCTATGGGTACCTACGAGCCTGCCCTTTGCAGACACTTTATACTGACCCCATTTTGCATGTAGTATAAATGAGTCCTTTCATTTTCGCCTGTTGTATTTAAATATTTCTGCATACTGGGGTCCATTAACAGTGTTGCATAAGCATCTGGGAACCAACCTTTTTCCTTTTCTATCATAGTAAACTGATGACCCCTGACTCAGTGTGGATATTTCATATTATAATCAATGAATAACAGTACAGCAACAACTGATAAATTATACAATGAACCCAAGTTTGTGTTAACAGAGCAATGTGGACGCATTTGGAGTAGATTATTTTAGTGTGAATTTTGCATCAGAGACAAGTTTTCTGATATTTTTAGGGGAATTTTTATACAATCCAATGTCTGCATTATTGTATGTATTATTATTTTTATTTTTCAACAATAATACATACTATTGGCTTCTTTTTTGAGTTTTAGTCTCATTGTCCATCTGTTCTTTGGTTGTTTTCTACTGCAGGACGAGGCTGTTTATCAGAGACTGAAGGCTCTGTGAATATAGACTGTGTTCATGTTTTCAAAGTTTATCTTAAATAATAATCTAAACCTAGATATAAATAGCTTTCTGGGAAATATTATCTTTTAAACTGACTCTGACTGTGCAATTTACTGGGGAAATCTGGTTTTAGCCTGCTATTGGCCTGATATCTGACACTACTGTTAGCCGTGCATTCAATCACAACTCAGTATTTCACAACCTTGTTTTTCTGCTTCAGTTTCCTTGACAGGAAAAATAGCACAAGCAAGAATGTTTGCTCTGGGCCCACGTCTGTTTTGAGAGATACCAGCCAATGTCACGCTGAGGAGGAGGAAGGAGGTAGATACTGAGAGATAAATCCAGCATGAAGAAACTCCTCCACTGGGGAGGAGAGGCTGCAACCTCTTAAGAGTTTAAAACTCAAAGTAGTGGTAAATTTGATTCAGCCACTTTGGAAATGCAGATTTTTTGCATGGGGTATGAATATGTTATTTTCTGCACACTGGGGTCCCTAAACAGTTTTGGAATTACATAAATTGGGAATGACTGGAAAGCATACTTCAAGCCACCCCTGCACAAGTCAGCGGCCCACAAGGGCTGACATTCTCTGTATTTTGCAGTGAGACATTCAGATGGTGAGTCTGGTGATGTTTATCATTTAACAAAAGCAGTTCACTACCACTCTGCTGTAATGACTGTAACCATCATCTATCTCTCCCTCGCCTTTTCATTCCCAGCTCCTGTCAGACAGCTCACTGCTGGTGACACATCTTGCTGATTCAACCAGCTTGCTGGCGCTGGAGCCCAAACGGCCGGCAGCAGCGGCAGCCCAGCCCACGGGGCGATCTCGCCCCGCTCAGCTCTAAACACATGTCGACACAATAGAAAGTGCCAGCGTCATCACAGCTGGGCTTATCGGTGTGTCACTGCCTGCACCAGCAACAAAGAATAAAACAGGGGGAAACTTTGACACAATGCAAACCTGAAGATGAGCAACAGCTGGAACATCTGGCCAAATCTATCACTCTAACAAATCTGTACTGATATCAGGCCTTGTCCACTTCATCACAACATTTATTCTAAATTTCACATATTTCAGCTGCTTTCTTTGTTTTTGATAACACAGGACAGATTTGAACATTTTAAAAATATACACAGTAGGCTGATATCTCAGCATTTTATTAATTTCTGTGAAGAAAACTAAATACATTTTTGAATTTAAGATTATTATTCTCTTATTCTATTCTATTCTATTCTATAAGAGCTAAACTTTGATGACGTATAAACCTCGCCCTGAAAACACTGAATCTGTCAAAAAAGAAGCCTATTAATTCTGTATGATTGTTGAAAATGATATTTTAAAAAAAAAACATAATACAGAGAATTATATAAAAGTTCCTATAAATATTAGAAAAACTCTTCTGATTAATATTGACATGAAATAATCTGCTAAACATTCATCAAAATCTCTTGTTTTATGCAAACTTCCTGCAGTTATTGGGTTCATTGTCTATCAGTTGTTCTCTACTGTTATTGTTGAAAATAACATGAAATATCCACAAAATATGTCACTTAGTCAGTTGTTTTTATTCAATGATAGAAAAGGGGTCCCTTAAGGAAAAAGATCGGGAACCACTGATTTAAACTACCTGTTCACATAAAATTATAATAATAGCACAATTTTAGTTTTTAAAAGGTTTGTGTGCCGCAAAATAATAGCAAAGGTCAAAAGTGCCAGCAAATATGTGCAAAGGGTTCATAAGAAGAGAGCAGGTTTTGGGGCTTCCAATTTGAGTTTGAGATCCCTGCTCTACATGCTTTGAAGTCTGAAATTTATTTTGCTTTGAGCCAAAAATGGCGGTAATATTTCCTGTAAATGGCTTCTGATAGTTATAATGTTGAGCAAAGGTTCAAAAAAACACTTGTTGCTCATTATGTGAATCAATGAAAGGACCTCTGAAAACGCTTCTTTCACAAAAACACTCAAACTGAGCACCTCTGCTGAGGCTAAAGAATCAGTTAAACACAGACAGATTGATTTCAGTTTACCTGCACTAACGCTGCTATCCACCCTCAGATAAATCCTCAAGACATTAAAAGAGCAGTCTGTCAGGCTTTCTTGCTAAATGTACAGCTGATTCTTTGGGCCTCCCGACCTTTAAGTGTCATCTAGACGAAAACAAACCTGCCGTTATCTCTTAGTCATTCACAGCTTCCTGTTTTAATCCCAGCTGTCAGCAAAACCAAATGATTGAATCAGATGAAACAGAAAAAGAAAAACAGAGACAGAGGTGGGGCAGAGAAAGGAAAGTACCTGGTAGTGAAAATCTTCTCTTTATCTTCTAAAATCCAAACATGTCCAGAGAGGGGAAAGAAAAGCAGATGAACCCACTCTGTGCTCGTTGGAGTAGCCAAAGCCCCTGAAAACAATGGGCTCTGCTGATATGGCCTATCCCACTAAGCAGTGTCAACTCACCTAGGCAACATGGACTGTACCACTCCTCCTGCAAACAGGGGAGGTTGCCTGGCCTGAAGCAGCTCTGAGGGTGACTCAATGATCTCTCAGAGCCACTTTTTACATTTCCTCTATCGATACGAGTCTGCCGTTTGCTCTGTGGCCTCGCTTGGATCCAGTGTGTCCTTGACAGGAGCAGGTTGTTGAAACACACTGATGGTCTACCTTTCTGTCCTGTTGACCCAACCCACTCTGCAAAGCTTAGCCCACGCCGCTGGCTTTGCAACTAGTAATTGGATTCAGGCTTTAAGACTCTGTTGCCATTTGCCAGTAAGCGTATAATTCTGACAGGACAGGACATCAGTAAAACATGTAGTAAAACGGGTTTAAACAGAAGTTATTCTTGTAGAGAGGCCCTAATAACAATAAACTTCATTTACAGAAAGGATGGGCAATAATTTGTTTAACTTGTTTTGTTGTATATGTGTGAATATTTGGTGATTATTCTGTAATTTATTCTCTCTTTTCTGCCGTTAGAAGGTCTCTCACATCAAAACAATAACAAAAGACTAAGTTTGATGACATGAAGCAGCTTCATCCGGTTCAAATGTAGAGGTAAAAAGCACCAAGATCTAAAGAGTGGATGGTAAACATGTGGCGAATAAATCTGAATAAAATTACATTGTTGGAAAACAACATTTGGGATAATCTAAGAACACAACTCAACTACATAGAGAACATAGAGCCAGAGTTTATACACCGTTCAATGCAAAACTGTTGAACGAGACAAAAATAAATCGCCATGACCTGAAGGTTGGATCACCCTTCAGGTCTCCCAGGACCACAAGAAGACTCGTGCTGGTTTGAGGCTGGTGAGGCGGTGGTGGGTCAGTGTCACCCTAGCTGACAGAGGGGACTCTCTCATTTTGGAGTCGTTATCTGCGCTCTGAAATAACTCCACTGCCTCCACAATACACGCTTTTGTTTTTCCCTGAGGGACAAACAAGCAGTGAGAGGCCCGTCTGTGAGGCTGTCAGATTATTAATTAATTATTAGTGAAGAAACATGATGGGGTTTTAGTATTTTTAGGACACAATGTTTTTCACGTCTTTCGATGCAGGTCGCCATAATGCGTTCTTAGGTTGGTTCATCTTTTGTCAGGGAACTGTGGCTTTGACCTCCGACCTTCGACCTCCTAAAGACAGTCAGCTTGTTAGTCCAAAACACAACACACTACATGTGAACCATGAATAGGGCCGGGTATCAAACCTTTGTACTTTCAAGTACTAGAAAAGGTTGCATCAAAAGTCTGGTCATATTTATAATCTTTTCTACTCATTCTTTGATCAGTTAGTTTCTAAATTGAGTAATAATTGTAAACTGTATTTTATATAGGTAAAGAAAGACATCATTCAGCACGTTGGACAAAATGAAAGACAAAAAGGCTTTTAAAAAATAACAAACTAACAATGTATTTGTAGCCAAACTCTGATATCTGCTGTTATGGTACCTTCGGACCACCAGGGTCAGGGTCTTATGAGAGCTCTTCACCAGAGAGATGGCCTCCTGACGGGAGCCGCTGAGGCAAACGGCATTCACGCTCACCATTTCATCACCGGCCTGTAGACAGACTGCCGCCGCCACGCTTCCCTCCTCCACCTGAACACACGCAATCAAAAATCAGTATACCTAATGGCCGGTAGATGATGTCTCCTGCACACGCTCGCATGTATATCAGCACTTTAAACTGTTTACAAGGCAGAACACAAAGGGAATTTTAGTGGAGGCACAGCTGCATATGAAGCCAACACAGAATTACTAAAGCTGCAGTTCCTCAAGCGGCCACTTGAGGCTGGCTTCAGCAATGAGTCAATCTCCATAAGGCCACATATTAATATTATTATTAACAGTTTATGACAGCTTCTGTCGACGCAGTGTTACCTGAATAAAATGACAGATTTCTCTGAGTTTGAACATTGTTGGAAACATCTGGGATAATGTAAGAACACAACTACATGTAGAACATAGAGCCAGAGTTTATAGACATCTTAATAAGGAAATGTTACATATTATTACTTAAAGGTGGTTTTTCAACTTAAGTTTTATCTTCATCCTCCTGGAGCACCTGTGGTGCAACCTGAGTGTGCCTTGATTAAAAATTTAATCCTGCACCGCCTGTAACCTGAGGTAGCTGTTGCTGCAGTTCACACCAGCACTAACAGCAGATGGAAAAGGTATCTGCTGTGTGTCGCATTATATAACAGAATTTACAGTATAATTCTTGCGTCTGTATTGCCAACAGAAGCTGCACCTTTTATCAACCTTTTATCAGCCTCAACACTTTTACACCTGCATTAAAATAAAGCTAGCCACTTAACTTAAACGCTCTTTCAAATTCAGAGAAGAGTTTTAATTTGGACTGTTGAACTGCTCCTAATGACTGATAACTGGAGGGCTATAATAAGAGTTCGAACTTTACTCTGGAGTGTAATATCTCACAAATTTCACCGACAAATCCCACTGTATCTTATATTTTATATTTAAAATGACAAATATAGACTTAAAAACCACCAAGATTTAAGAAATATATGGTAAAAATGTGGTCGCGAGGCCTTCCTGACTTTAAGGTGTGTAAGAAATTTTTAAAAATACACACAGTAGGCCTATATCTCAGCACTGAAAAGTACATGTAAAGAAAATTGTCCAATAGAACAAAACAAATGTTTTAGCTCAACAAAAAAAGAAACACGACAGTTTGCTTTAATCTTATTGAGTTGTGGCAACTTCTAATCAATTCATGTTTAACAAATGAACTACACTGAGTTCAGGGAATTAGCTTTTACTCTACAATCAAAGGTGTTTTAAAATACAGCTTATTTAATGATTAGTAGCATAAACACAAGTTTATTAGGCTACTCATGAAAATCAACTTGGTGGCAACTTAAAAGGTTTGTCCAAATCAATGAATTGGAGGTTTTATCTTGCAACCATGTATTCTTTATATCAAAATACAAAACCGATGCTGTTACCTTTGTGATGACCAGCGGCTCTCGGTGCTCGACACCCCCCCTCAGGGTGAAGCCCCAGGGTGCTTTGCCTTGGAGCAGCACCTCCACCAGCTCTGCGTCCTCCCGCTGCCCTGTGGGACTCCACGTGTCCAGATCCGTCCACCACTTTATCCTGTCTGCTGAAACTCTCAGGTCATCTCTGGGGTCCACGGTGGCCATGATGCCTCCGGTTCAGTGAGCTCCATCAACATCAGTTCACTCTGAAAGAATGGATGTAGGAAAAACACCAACAATTATATATCAGTCTATTTCAGTGGGATACTTTACTAATATATAAGTCCCCACCGAAAGAAGGAGCCATAAATATGTCTGTTGCACAGAGACTTTTCGTCCTTACTGTATGGGAAAATTAGAACTATAATCATTAGTTGATTAGTTGATAGTGATATGATGAATAGGCTATGTTTTCTCACTCCAATATGACTTAAAACTGAACGTCTTCAGATGGTTGACTGCGATTGTATTTACTATTTCTAAACGATTATTCATGGAGAATATAATATGGAAGATCATTCTATAATAAAAAAAACAATAATTATTTGCTGCCATAATGTAAATGCTGAATTGTAAAAAAACAAAATGGTTAAAAAACAGAAATGAACACACATAGTTTAAAGACCTTTTAGTGATAGGTTCAAGTTCAATGAAAAAAGACATGTATGATGATTTTGAAACAAAACTATTTACTTATTTCCAATGCCACCTTTAGATATATCTATTAAATGTCTGGGAAAAATGTTACCAAATATAAACGCATGCTAAAAGTCACACACACACCATGTAGCTATTACAGATAAAGAAGTACTCAAACATAACCTCCCGAATAAACCTGCATATACTTTTTTTTTTTTTTCTTGGATTTTCAAGAGCTTTAACTCACTTGAGAATGTCGATTTCTGCATGAAAGCTCCCACACGGATCAACAACAGAGTTCCAGGTCCTGAGCAGCATTTCAGGGTCCTTTTACGTCTCACTGACATCCCCATCTGTTATCCACCGTCCCAACAGGTGCAGCGTCTGAATGCTGCCTTCAGGTGCGCCAAGTAAACTCCTCCGTCCTTATGTGCTAAAGTTTGGGCAATTAGTGATCGTTATTTATGAGATGGGAGAGGGTGGCTCAAAACTAATATTTTTTAAGCACTGGGGAAAAATAGGATTCTGACTCATCATATTAAAATAATGACTTTGTGATACTAAGCCATTTATTTCAGTTGCTAAGTCAAAATATTGAGCGGTTTCTCATTATAACCCCCACATGAACATTTAACGTTGAATGGTTGTATTTTGTGTATATTTTATATGCGTTTTTCTTTTAAAAATAATTTTACCACTGGAAGGTTAGGAACTCACAAATTTGGTATATTTTTAATTAACTTTATTGAGACAATTTAAAAGAAAAAGACATTAAATACATGAACTTACAAAGCATGTATTCAAAACATTTCTCTTTTTTCCCCCAGTGTATTTTATTAAAGGACATATGCTGATTGTACATACAGTATACATGCAAAAATCAAACAGTAATATCAGTAATATAGTGGTATTGGGCAGAAATTACTGACTTTAATAGCTAAGAGCAAGGAAAAACAAAAACAAAAGAGAAGAAAAGATAAGAGAATTTCTTTTTAAAAGGATGTAAAAATAGACTAAATCAAGCAGGTGGGGTGATATCAGTTTATCATTTAAGGGCTGACATGTTTTCAGGAAAATGTTGTCTTTGTTGGTGACAGAATGTGGTCTTAGTGTGAAGGAAGGAGGGAGGAAGAAGAGAGAAAA